GGGGGGAGAAGAATAAATGAAACTAAAATTATACTAAACTAAGTTATACATGCAAGTTGTAGTCCCGTGGTTATCAGAATGAGAGATGGTGAGAATGCCTCATTGCTCTCTTCTATTGGATATATATAGCAATCTTTGCAACCCACCCACCCACGATCTATGTCTACTATACCACTCTCCGTGTGACCCCCGTCTTCACCAGAGGTTTACTTTCCATTCAACCAACAGCAATGAACGTGGCATGAATGACGTTACGACACTGATATCTGTGGTTTTTTTTCTTATTCCATGCTAGCTCTTGGGAATTATTGAAAACTAGCAATAGAAGGGCTCTAGATTCTTAATTCTGTCTTATCTGAAGCTCAAGTCTGGGAGCTGGAGTGGCCCAGAGGTAGAACGCACAAACATATCCAAATAGAAATCAAAATACACTAATTGACAAAACCCAAAAATATATATGCACGAATACAAATACAAATCCAGCAATACATGTACAAATACGCGCGAATACAAATACAAATTAGACTGCGAGCGGTCCTACTTCTCCTTCCAGACTCAGTTTATGAATGTTTTGGGATTCCTTTGGACTTGTTCTCTCCTTTCTCACTCGGATCCAATCTACGCGCGTCCACAGGAACCTCAAAACGCTCGCCCTTACAGAGTTTGGAGGGAAAAGCGGGACCGCTCGCAGTCTAATACGAATACGTACGGGAGCCAATAAGGGACATTGCTGCAAACATGAAAACGAGACGAAAATACCGAGAATCGAAACGAAGTGGATTAATAATGTGAGCAAACAGTTTCCAGCGGGAAGCACTTTAAATCAGGAAAATAAACTTGACTTTTTCGATCGGTATTGCTTACTAACTGTTAATTCTGAATGTGAGCATAAAGCAATAGGGTAGTCACCCGTTATAAGAAGAAATTGCCAAAATTAATTAATTCATGGTTGGGACCCCCCTTAGTTACCGTTGCTATGTCCCACAAGCTTAACAAATTATCTAGAATATCTCAGAATTTTAAACTCTGATTGCGGATAATTGACTATAAATTGTTCCAATAGTTTACTGTGCTGTGAAAAGAATATAAAGTTACCTCGTAATCTTATAGTACTCTTTCAAACAGATACTTTGTAGTTGTTTGTTTGGACAAGATTTTACTTCCCCTGGGAAAACTGCTGCAACAGTGATTGGTTCGCTGTTGTCTGCCTAGTATTGTCTGCCAAGCACGGAATCGGTTGAGATAATGATTCAAAAAAAATCTTGTCTATCTGATGCATTGTTTTCAGGGCTATTGTTGTGCTGATTCACCTGTAACCGTGGTCCAGTGGAAAAAACATGGACTTCCATATCATGACACAGATTCAAATGGGTGACCTGAAACTTTATTAATATATTCCCAATATACACTGAAAAAATGTACGTTTTGCAAGTTTTTTTGTTCCACGTAACTTTCAATCGATTAAGATCCGTTTTGACTTACCTTGACAAACTTGTCGACAATTAAAAGCAGGTTAATCCGTGACCGGCAGTCTGTAATCATGAGCAGGTTTTCTAAGTACCTCGAAGAGAATCGTTCGTATCCTGTGCCGAGGATAGACAACTGAACACGTCAAGACTCTTTTAGAACTCAGTCCTAAACGTTAAACTGATCTTTTGACATGCAGCAGCTCAAGGCTATGCACATTCATTTTCATTTTAGCCCCGCTCCCCCCTCCCCCGGGGCTTCTAGGTCTCTGGTAAAACATAGGTGCAACAGGTGGAGCAGCAAAACTGAAATCTTTAGACAAAAGATTTGGATTGTATTTCTTTTAACTCGGTAGTGGCTTGAAATATCTATTTCTACAGTCCCTTTTTAAACCCCAAGATATTATTTTTTAGTCAAGTGCCCCGTGCCCTGGTCAAGACTAGATTCTAGAGCCGGTATTTATTATAAATACTCCCAAAAAACTGTAAATTGGAGAGTATATTTTTCCTGTAAACGTACGTCGGTTTTAAATTAGAATTCATATTCTCAGTACATGGTTTTCCTTTGCATTTGAGATCATAGTGGTCAAAAACACCACTGACAATAAAGCGTGACTTGGTAAAATTGATTATATTACCAAAAAAAAATCCTAAGATATCTTGAATATCGTAAAAAGATTTTAGATGTGCCTTTTGCCCGTTCGCATATAGAATTATTTTCCTCAGACCATCCGTACTGATGGGTAAGGCTCTGATCAGTCGACTAAGCTAAGCTGCATCCCTTGAAAACGCGTTTTTGGAAACCATGTTACGGGCATGTGACGCCTTCTTACGGGTGACATATTACAAACACTATAATAAKCCAAGATGATTGGCTGCGAAACTCAGTAGACGTCATATTGTTCATTCTGTCACCAGCTATTTCTCTCAGTCCACATCAGCTAAAGTCAGAAATCACAATTGCGTCTTGGAGTTGCTGGCGACTTCAAAAAGCAAAAAATACTATTACGGGAAGCAGGGCTTCAGCAAGCAAATTGATTTGGAAAAATCACTCGTTACAACTCAATTGGAGAGGATATTCAAAATGCCAAACGGTAAACTATTTTTGGAAAAGTGCAACTCGTCTAGGATTTTATGCGAAACAAAGAAACTGGATGCAAAACCCTTTGTTCAGGAAATTGAGATGTTATCAGAAGAGGAGAGATCTTTAGTACGAATTGGGAAAGTCTTGGGAAGCGGAGGCTTTGGATGTGTGTATGAGGGGCATTACAGGGGAAAACAAGTCGCTATTAAAAAATTTCATGTGAATTCCAAAAGTCGTCGAGCAATGCTGCAGAGCTTTGAAGCTGAAACATCAATCATGTCTTTTTGCCATCCAAATATTATAAGAACTTTAGGTGCTTTTGGAAAAGAACTTCAGCTGGGATGTCGCATCATCGTTATGGAATTTGCTGGCAACAAGACATTGCGAAATATCATTGTCAATGATAAAGATGCCATTAACGAAGAACGTAGATTAAAGTTTGGCTTTCAAATAGGAAGTGCTTTGGAATTTCTCCACAACAGGGAAATTGCTCATTTGGATGTCAAACCAGCAAATATATTAGTTGATAAACACGACGTGTGTAAACTAGGTGATTTTGGCTGCAGTCAAATTATCGGAGAAGGAGATGACGATTTACCTGCTAGTCCAACCTGTTCATATTTAACAGGGACTTTTGCATATCGTGCACCTGAACTCCTCAAGGGAGAAGCACCCACTACACAAGCTGATATGTATTCTATGGGAATATGTCTTTGGCAACTATTAACGAGAGAACAGCCATACGGTTCAGAGAATCTGTACGTCGTGGTGTTCGGTGTTGTGGCGTACAATTTACGACCACCTGTGCCACAAGCGGACAACCAGTGCTTACAGGAATATGATGCTTTAGTAGAGCGATTGTGGCAGGCTGATCCAACGCTTAGACCTAATGCTACAGAGACAATGGAAATATTAAGGATGTTACAGCTATAAAGCTTCATAAACTGTAGGTTTTATATGGCTCTTTTATGAGAAACAAATCATTTTGTTTTGCTGAAATACAAAAGTAAAAAGAAAACAAATAGACCGTTACTGAGTTTGCTTGAGTGACCACAAATTAAACAATGGTTCTAGGTTCGAGTCGAGGCTTGACTTGATAAATACAGTAAGTGTTATATGCATGAGCACATCAAGTCCACCATCAGTCAGGCCAATTTTGAAATGGGTTATTAGTGATCTATTTTGCTTTTCAGGTTTTCCTTTAGAAGGTATAGTGTTATAGCTGTATATGTACTCCCAACAGACCGCAATTTACCAAAATAGATCATGAATTACGAAGCTTACGATTTAAAAGTCTTGAAAGCGGGGAAATATATATTTTTAAAAAACCATTTTTAAATCAAGATAAATCTTTAAAAAGTTTCTCCAGCAATCAGTATTTTTAAACATTTAAAACAATAATGACGATGATTTTGATGGTAGTAAATGATGATGATGATGATGATAATGATGATGATGATGATGATGATGGTGATGAATAGCTCCCCACTCCTATACAACATAGACTGATAAAGTTTAGCATCTATAATAATGATAACTTTTGGTTCTCAAAGATATTATGAAGGATTTTCTTAATAAACACCTTTCATTCGTTGTATGTAATTTTTATGATTTTAAGAAATTGCGCCAAAATAAGTGAATGGAAGAAGAAATGGAGGGAAAGAGAAAGGGAGGAAGGGCGGAAGCGGTCGGAAGGGAGGGAGGGACAGACAGACGGTGGGCTGGAGGGAGGGAGGGTGGGAGAGTACTAGTGGATCAATTAGGGAAGGAGGAATTAAGGAATACATATAGGTTATAAATATTAGGACGTAGAAGCGAAAGCGGATTCGCACCATTACTACGATTCAAAATTTTCAAGTAAAGCATAAAAGCGGCGAATATCTTTCTGGAAATCGATATATTATTATTGCAACTTAATTAGAAAATGTGCTGTATGGCAAGGGCTTTCAAAACATAGGAATCCTTATAAAAGTATTCCACTTTGTATTTAGCGCGATTCAGTGCTACTTAATAATAAAGCCCTCTTTTGGACATTAATCATGTGGTGAAACACTGCCTTCCATCTAATATCCAGGTCTTGTTTTTTCATTTCTGGTGTTTATTTTGACACAACTGCTTGATTTAAACGTATAGGGTCACGAGACCTGTTAGTATAGACCTGTGTGGTTTCAGCCATCTTACAACCAGTTTGAACATCTTTCCATTGTGACCTGTAATGATAAAAAGGTAAATTATACACCGTGAAAAGATGAAAAGTAAGTAGTAAGTTTTTTCATCTTTTCACGGTGTATAATTTACCTTTTTATCATTACTGTTTCATTAGAAACACCGACGCAGCTCACACTAGTTTTTAGCGAGTTATCTCTTCTTTCCATTGTGACCCGTAAGAAAGCGTTGTCATAATTTATAGGGTGGATGGCTATGGGTATTGGAGGGGGGGATTGGTGGGATTTCATTCAATTTTATTGGATGTAATTCATTTTCCGGTTACAAGCAGTTGGGGAGGTTACAGCGATTTTTTAGAAGCCAAAGATATTTAGTATATCTTGAAATTACATCCAAGACTCATGTTTTCGGGTTATTATACTTGTTTTCATTGGCTTTTTCATGTTTTACAATTAAATTTCATTCCCCTGATCAATGATCTTAAAACGACGTTCACACGCGCGTAGGATTATGAATTAGCAAACGCACGCGGTTTTTTTTTTACGATCTGACTAGTGTTCTATATTTTTGAAATCTGGATACAGTGGTTCTTTGATTAGTCATCTGATTGAATTTTTTTGGAATTGATTTTTTGCCATGGTTTTGCATATTTGTCTGCTCAAGCGGTTCATGGTAGTCTCCTACCAGGGTACGCAGCCGCTATCAGTGTCGTCATGCCACGGAGTAGGCGTTGCGTGACGAAACTAATAGCGGCTGCGTAGGAGACTAAGTTCATGGGAGCTCGAGACTGAGAAATGGATATAATAATAATGATAATCATTGTTTTCTATGCTTTCTATCTTTCGGTGCTTTATTACTGAGTACAAGTTGCAAGTGATAACTGAAAATAGCACGGAAAATTAAAAACAGCAGTTTATTTTTTACTTGTTTTATTACATAAAAAGAGAGAAAAAACTTTCCATTTTCGCAGTCCACACTAATACGATAGGTATCCGTTTTCAGATGTCTCCACTCTGGAGAGCGTTTTTGAACGTTTTAGTATGGACGAAAGGAACGAAAAACAACAAAATACATCGAAAGTATGCTTTTTCAAACAAAAAACGCATTAGTGTAGGAGGGGGCTTACACTTCTTTGCAAAGTTTGCAGCGCGTGCGCGGATGCTGTCATCAGTAACCGTGCCTCTTCAGTAATACAGCACAGCTTTCGATCAATCAGAGTGCGCGTACTATCTAAGCTACATAATCAATAAAAATATAATACATAGTACATCCATGTACGTATAGTATATAATTTATGTGACTAATTTATTGTTATAATATCAATAAATCGTTATATTTCACAATTATTCGCCGAAGGCGAAGTGAATATCGGGGAATGTTTACCAAGCCGCGAGCCTTCAACACGGGTTCGATCCTCGGACTCGTCGTATGTGAGTCCGGGTTATCCGGTTTTGCTCCTTCTAAATTCTAAATTCTGATTTGATCTAGAAAAGGCGTGCGTGATAAAAATTACTCGGTGTGATTTTTTTCTGTGAGATACGAAATCTAAAACTACAAAAACTACAATATAAACTACAGGACCAAGATCAAAATATTTATATAAAAAGATATATAGAGTTAATATGCGACTATTTAAAATCTAAGTAAAAGATTCTTAAGTTAGAAACTCACTGTAATGAGTCTTGAAAGTATGAAAATAAGTGAAAACTTTCGAGTTTTCGTTCTACTCCATTAGCATGTTCTCCCACGCATCCTGATAATATTAAAGAAACTGCGAAAGGTTCTTCTCTTAATGGAAGTTGCGTCTTACCAAGTCTTGGCAATATAGTTCAGTCAGAGTGTTGTACAAACTGAGCTTTTCTCGGTTTTCAGGCCTGACCCATCACCATCTGTTGGAGATGCTTTCTTCACATTCTCTGGCTTTTGGGCTTCTCGTACAGCAACTGCTTGTTCTTCTGTAGATTTTGGGTTATATTCCTGTGCACACGTATTTATAGACGTCAGTGACGTAGCGAGAGTAGTAGAGTTGGAGGGGACACTAGAGAAAAACGTTTGCGCATGCTTGCACTTCAGCACGTTTTCTAAGAATTTTGAAGAGTTTGAGTGAGAAAATAAATGTTTGTTTTCTCCAACTATACACTAAAGTTTGAGTATACTTTTGTCAGACCAAGAAACTGTATTAACAAACACAATATGAAAGAATTAGCCTTAAGTTTCAAGCATGGACACTAAGTTTTGGCATTTTGTGAAGTCCAATTTATCAAGCATTTTTGAAAGTCAAATTTACTTATGTTTTGACTAATTCGCATACGGATTCAGAGCATGCGCAGACGTTTTTCACTCGTGTCGTTCGAGGGGCGAGCACGCGCGTTTTGGCGCCAAAATTCTCGCCAAACCCACAGGTAGCCCAACAAAATAGAAAGAAGGATTTTGTAAAACTTTTGCCCTGCATCCCTTGGTACTCCCGTAACATAAATATATGTTTACTATCAAAAGAACATATCGGTCAAAGCAGTTAAGTGTTATATTGACCATTCCGAGGTCGAGTTAGCAATGCAGTGCATTGTGGGACTGTTTTAGGGAACTAAATTACCGCCAACTTGGAAATGATTGGGGAATGTCTAATAATTACCTCGTATTCTACACAATGAAATGGCAAGTCTGTGCCATACGTCGCTGCCCACCATGAAATGTCTGTCGCTGGATCACAGTTTTCTATAAACCTTGAAAGGCTATCATGTATCTGTGAATACCTGGGGGAAAAAGGAGGGATGTGTTGAGTCAACACATAAAGCAGATAACAAATAACAAGAAAACGATAGATTGAAAGTGCGCGTGAATGCTGTATGCTCTGATAAAGCACGGTCTTCCAACCAATCAGAACGATTAATAATATAAGTTACAGCTATATCATAATTTTCCTCATTCTTAATTAGTAAAAAAATCATTCTTTGATGGTTAAGGGCCCTAAAGCTTGATAATCATTTTAGGGAGGCTGCAACATTCTGATGCAAGTAGACATAAGAAGAGTCGTTGATTTTTGAGCCTGAGGTTGTTAAATCATTATGGTATGGTATGTCCGGAAATAAATGCTTCGGCGAAATTTTTAACGATAAATTATCAATAGGATAAAAACTATGAGTTGTTATCAAAATGGGTTTTATAATATTCTAAACGGACAGAGAACACAAAATTCCCCCAAAGCTTCTGCAGTCTCCACAAGTCGGTCACATTTTTATTTCATCCAGAGAGAACAGGAACTCTGAGTAACTCTTGCTCTGTAACTGGGTTCGACTTTTATAACCAATCACACTCATCATCCTTGGTCTTAAGTCGATGTTGCTACTTTTTATTAAAGAACTTATTCTAAAAGCCGACCCATTAAATTTGTGGGATCTACTGGTCCTAAACTGCGCATAAAAACTGCTCTTTATTAGTAAACTAATGGTTGCTGACGCCATCAGCGTGCGCAGAGAATTTTGCAAAGAATTGTAAGAAAAAAAGCATTGAAAAATTCAGTTCTCTGTTTAGTAATAAAGCACTAAAGAAGCGCAGAAAGCACTCAAGAAGTGTGAGAAGCACTCACCTAAGGCTCGTGCTTTTCTTTATACTTATTTCGTTCTTTTTTCACTCCCTGTGTGCTTTATTACTGAACGGATAAGGAAAAAGCTTTTTGTATGTATTTTCGGGTCCAATTGCTTAGAAAAACCGCTAAAACAAAGCGAAAAAATGTTCTCAACGACTGAACCTCCACTTGAAACGATTAGAACTTTGGATAAAAATCTTGTGAAGAAGAAAAAGTACATCTTTATCAGAAATACCTTTCGTTTTGGACCTAGAAGTCTCTTTAACATACAACTGACTTCACAGTTAAAAGCTCTTAATATGTTAAAGTTTCTTGAATTCAGGTCGCGAATATTGTCCATTATCTGACAGACACGTACCTTTCAAAGATATGTGTTGGGTTTAACACTTGGCAGATACTTTGCATGGTGCTTTTCATAAAGATTTTCCTTTCCTTTTCAGATTCTTGTAATTTCTCAAACATGAACACCATATCCTCCTTGTACTTTGGGTTGTAGCTGGTTATGTCTCTTATTGCTTCTTTGTAATCACTTTGTGTGGTTACAACATCATTCTTAGCTTTAGTAAGTTTGTCGTTTAGCTTTTTCTTCTGTTCATCAGTTTGTGGGCTTGAGGTAGTACAGTTATCAAGCTGTTTCTGTACTTGATCACGAGCCACACATGCTGCAAAATACGACTTCTTGCACTTTAGAACTAGAAAGAAATACAGGAAAATATTAGTTTATAATAAACTTTCTACGAGGTCTGGCATTGAAAAAAAAAAAAAAAAAAAAAAAAAAAAAAAAAAAAAA